GAGCAATTTTTTTATGTAATGTAAAGTTATAGCTCAGTACATTTTTTTCACCCGAGATAGTCAAAGTTGGGGAAGAAAATATCAAAAAGATAAAAATCCCAAAATAGTCCTAATTTTATGACAGTTCCTTAATATCTTTTAACTACATTGCATTTGAGTATGGAGAAGCAACTATCTGGAAGTATTTTAAATAAAAAAAATACGGTTTGTAGATGCAGTTAAAGAAAATACATTAAAAGGCACGATTTTTTTTAAATTCAAAAAAATTTAAATATTTCAAAAACGGTGACACTTTTACCTGAACATTTTTTTTTATCAGAGAGCTCACACCTCCACCTACCTTCCCCTAAAGTTTGGCACGTTACTTCTGGGACACCCTGTATAAGCAAAAACTTAAGCGTTGATAAAATGGAAAATTTCGAGATACAGTGTATCCACCATAAACTCTTGGATCTAGGTTAAAGAATTCAATAATTAATAAAAAGAAAATCCTTTTTCTAATAGCGCGGATTTTGTTTTACCTTACTAATTTTACCTTTGAGGAGAGCTGGAAGTAAAGCTTTCCAGAAAAATTTTGCGAAAAAATTATTCAAATCAATTATCTGCAATTACAGACTTTAACAGTTTGTCAAGTATTTTTAGGTCCCTGTTATAAGTGCCATAGCAACGAACCTTGCACATTATTTTGGTTTTAAAAGATTTTTTCAGCACTTAAACTTATAAAATTCGTTGTTTTTTATTGAAATTGCCGAAAATGTAAAAACAAGCTTACGTCAATAAATGCTCAACCATAACAAAAATATGTAGCTCTTCATTTTAGCTACTATTAGTATTATTTAGCTCTTTTTAGCTCTTTTTTTGGACCGTTTTAGGTCCAAACAAAATTTTTCTCTGAACGCTGTATGTCACCACTAATTTAACCTTTATCTCGCCAATAACGCGCCGAATGTTGGTTTCCAACTATTCAGACGTAGCTCTTTCATTAGCATAGACGTAGCTACACAAAAAGTAGACTAACGGAGTAAAATCACATGGCCCTAGGTGGGCAATTAACAGGCCCGTTTCGTGATTTGATTAGGTTACCATAAGTTCGTCACAATAAAGTGATGGTTTATCGCGTTGTATGGTTTGTTGCACCATCCTCCCGGAACCATTTAGCACTTAGATAACTGATATTGACGTGGAGAACCAAAAAGTCGCGAATCATTTGACTGTAGCTCTCTTCTTCACCTTCTGGCTCCATCTTCAGTTTTAAAAAAGTATGGACCAATGATGCTTTCGGCTTCGAAATATCTTGACTATTGCGCCGCCTAGCGGATTAATTAATCTTCCATATTTCATTATGGGCAAGGAAGGGATCTTTGGCGCCACTGCCGGAAAATTCAGCCTCCACGACGAAACGTCCGATAACGGACTGAGGCTGATCGACTTCGCCGGGGCCCGAAATATGGTAATATGTAGTACTAGGTTCCAGCATAAGAACATCCACCAAGCTACATGGCTGTCTCCAGATCGAAAAACGAGAAACCAAATCGATCATGTTGTGATAGACGGAAGGCATGCTTCAAGCGTTTT